GTACCTACAGTGCCCCCTAGTGGGTTAATATATCCATGACAATGAATGTGTAAATAACCAAAAGATATTGTAATAAATTTCTTGTGTCTGTGTCAGACTCAAGCCCTGGTCTCCCACTCTCTGGTCTGACGCTCTACCCATTGCCCTATTGAGAGACCACAATACATGACCATCGGAGGTTAGTGCTAACCATGTCATCTGCTCTGAGGTTAACCTTGGTGGCTTTAAGCCTCATATTAACCATATTGTTTATGCCTGATATTTACCAGATAGTGGTTTTATGCCTCATACTAACCAGCTGGCAATCTGAAGCCATTCTATGGGACTGATAACGCCTAATAAGGTCCATTTCATGGATGATAACATCCGAAGCGACTGGCTGCTTTCACTTTCTGAGCTGCCGCTCGTCTCTGAACCTCTGTGATGTTCAAGAGCAGAGGAGGGAACCCCAGGATCTGCTTTTTGCAGATGATGTGGTTCTGTTGCTCTGAGCTTTATGTTCACAAAAACGTGTGGAGTGGTCGGGATGAGAGTCCAATCTGAGGCCACAGTTCTCAACTGTAAAGAGAAAAGATGCTCGAGGACTTCAGGGACCTCTGTGTCTCATTCATGAGCAATAACGGAGCGGGGGATAGTATAAAAGATGATGTTCAGGTCTTACCCAGAGGCAAAACTTTAAAAACTATTGGTCCATCTACATTCCCGTCCTTACCTGCGGTCAACAGGGATGGATCAGGACAAAAAACTAAATAAGACATCTGATTGGACGCCTGAAACGAGTCATTGTCAAAGACAACTGTGGTGATTTGGATTTACTTCTTGAGCCACTTTACTTTGAACATCACTAACTGCAGAGCCAGTTTTTCTAACTCATTTCCACCAGGAAATATCTAAAAATAAAAGAAAGAATCAGCCATTTCCATGAGAACGAACTTAATCCCCTCATTCTTTCTCCCCTTCAGTAATCTGTGAGCTGCAGAACTTCCTGAAGTTCTCCCTCTTGGTTGAAGTTTATCGTGTGGGAACCTCGTGCCGCAGCCTTATCCTGCCCCCGTCCAGCCGACCAGAGCAGCTCCAAGTTTCCACCCTTAAATAAACGTCAGCTGCTTTTTTTAGACAAACCAAAGTGTGTCACGAAGGCTTGGAGGAAAATGATCCCAAATTAGAATTTCATTGTGGTGTAATTTTCCCCCCCTCTGTGCAAAACGCCAATTATGTGTCAACATGGACGATGTAAAAGCTTAAAGCTCAAAGAGACGATGATGTGTCTCCTGCTGCAGTGAGGCAGGATCCAACATGAAGGGACATTTGTCTGGTTTGTGCCTCTTTGGAAGGAAAATAACTCCCACAAAGTCAAAAATTAAACGTGTATTTTACACCACAACACACTGAAAAAAAGGACTTTTGGGTGTAGTAACATTTATTTAATTATTCTTTTAAATTTTAGAAAAAATATCAAAATCTCTAAACTACTAGAATTTACTAAATAAACAATACACATTATATTATATATCAATATTACTGTACACAACAAGTAAACACTAACATTATTTTACC